CTTCATTATCATTGGCGGGGTAAAATAGGCTCTCTTGTGCACATAGGTCACCGCACCATTTGCACACCAGCTAGAATGTCTCACTTGATCTGTCTCTCGCGCATGCATTCGCATGCACAACGTTCTTGTTGCTGAAAGCCTGCCAGCTTAACACCCAGGATACAGTACATTGGAGAAAATGACGGTGCGTTATTCCCAGTGGCTTTCATAACAACATCCGTTTTGACCGCTTATCTTGACCAAACCCGTTTGTTTCACTATGCTGCTCGCAGACATGTACATAGACGTGCTACCGTTACTTCTAGTGAGGTTATATTTCTTATTTTGCTTTCGCTAGCCCCTTTCCTTCGCGCAAATCTAACAGCGGCTAGGTTACCATCGACGTGAAGATGCAAGAGGCGGGAAGCCGATATGAATCGATTGGTAAACCATTGAATGTGGGGGGAAGCTAGAGGATAGTGCCGTCTAAGTCGACTGGGACAGATAGATTGGGTTGTGTGTTGAGGTGAGTACAACGGTCATCATCGCGAGTACCCCGTTCTTGACATCCTTCCACAGCATCCGAGCGTTAGTGTTCTCGACGCGTGGTTGACAGGCTCCGAGGAGGAACGTTTGGCGAGTGATCAATTTCGTTTCGGGAGTTGGTCAGCGACAATGCCTTCATTCATTCGACGAAAAGGTGGGTTCCAAGGGTAAGGAGCCTTTTTGGAGGCCTCTGCGCCCTTATCGCGTCCACTGTCAGCTTTAGCTGACATCTCCGGCGGTCATCGCCATCTCCACGGTGCTTTGTGTGCCATCTCCGGGACTCAGTGGTGATCCGTGCACAGTGTCCATTTTTGGGCCGAGGCTGTGTTACGGATTGAATGCCACGGTCTCACCCCGTCCGTTGCTTTGCACCTCTCCATTCCTCGGTCGCAACGGTGAGCAGATCTCGTGCTCTCTCCCCAGCTTTATGCTGATGCCTTAATGCAGAGTAGTGCCCCGTTATTTTGTATTATATTATCATTTCTTGCCACTACTCTGCACGTGAGCATTCCACCGCTCTCTCCCCCTCTCTCTGCGTACTCACGTTCGCTCGTTAGATTTCAAGCTCGCCTTGTATTTTTAGTTGTGTATTTTTATTATTCCGAGCTTGAAATCAAACGTGAGTATTCTTTTCTATCTATATGTTCTTTCTCTTGTATCTTATAAGTGGCGAAATTCCAGTAGCGTATCCTTTATTTCGCGCACCCTCCCTCCCAATCCCTTTTAACTTTATTCTTATTTTATGCTGTAACATACTGTAGCTACACCTCTCGTCGCACCCAATGAAAACGGGGGCCGCCCGCGAGCGCGCCCTGCATATGGCTAATTCAATCCGTCCTTCGCGCTCGTCTAGGTCATCCGTTCTTCATTCATTCATCCGTTCATTCAACTACAAAAACCAATGGCGGGGATCGAACCCGCAACCTTCGCCTACCGACGCGTACGTAGGAGAGCGACGCTCTACCATTGAGCCACACTGGCCGACGATTCCCGAGGCTGCGTAGACGTGACGGAGGGAATCGAGACGGACAAACTTTGGTGCGTTGTTCAACTTGCCCTTTGATAACAGGAAAGAGACAACTGACGCCTGACTGGAATTATATCCAACCAACGCTAGGGATCGGCTCGGTCTCGCACGCGTATGGTGTTCTATCTCAATAGTGTTAACGTGAAAACCCCTCGTTGGCTGATTGTACAACTCTACGATTGTCACGTAAGAAAATCTCATGGACTCCAGTCGTATTTTGACACTGTTGCCTAGAAACTATGTCGCTTCAACAAGCAGCGACCGGGAATTTCGCAACGTCTCTACACTCGAATCTATGCACTCGAATCTGGCGTTATCGGTCTCGTCTTCAATAATGAGCACGACATCGCCCAGTGCAGGAACAAATTTCGGTCATCGCCGCTCGCGTGTTTCCTCGCTGGTGACTCGATGATGATGTCCGAGTTATTCATTTACTTACCCTTTGATCACAGGAACCACTGGAAGCACCCCGCATCATAGCGATCTTTTGATAGAACGACTGACGACTGACTACAGTATATAATGACACTTAAGAGCTTCTCATAGACTCCAATTGTGTATTGACACCGTTGTCTAGAAACAATTTCTCCGATTCTACCACTTGGCAGCGACCGGGAATTCTGCACGTCTCTACACTCGGACGCGGGCGTTATCCTCGTCTTAAACAATGAGCAAGACATGTATATTTATGTATGTATGCGTACAGCAGAATCTCAACATAAGGTTATATCCATCAACCTCTGTAGTAGGGGTTGAGAACTAATTGGGAACCGCCAGTCCTAACATCGCAGCACTGTCCGCCGATATTCTGCCCTGTTTTAAAATGTAATGTTAATTCACAATATGGCACAGCCGTCAGGACAGTCATACCGTGAGAATCATAGAGGCAATTATCAGCGCCGAAGTAGATGTCCCCATAGTCTGAAGGCCAGGTAGCATCAAGCCTGCATCCTGCAGTAACATATTGGTCGGCGCTGTCCCCACCGTTGAAACGAGCGTAGATAGTGGCGGAGCCGCTGTCAACACTGACAGAGCCTGGAGCGCAGATGGGAGTGTTGGCAACGAGAATGCATCCGTCATTCGCATGCTGAAAGAATACGTTAGTTAATGACTGCATTGAAGGCAAGCGGCATCGACATACAACATTCGTTCCTTGTATGACGGCTGCAGAAGCCAAGGCAAATATGATGGTGAATTTGTTAATAAAATGCATAGTGCCAAGTTTGTGTGCAGAGACCTCACTCGTTGGTGTAGGAATGAGAGGAATCCGAATTCATACGCAGAATTATATATCCAGGATGAGACCGTCGAAGACGCAGAGACAGTAAGCAAACTAAGGAAGAAAGTGACTGGAAATAACACCTGTGAACCTATGACCTCTGAGAACCTTGCCTTCCGAGCAAAGGTAGTAGGGTATTACCGGCTTGCGTATATAGACGCGACGATGGATTACCTTTACCTTTACCAAGTTTACCTGTACACGGAGGAAATGATGGCCCAATAGTCAATACACTTCCAGGTAGTTGGTCGTAACCGTCAGCAACTGTAAGCACCTGTGATCAGAAACATTGGTTATGCGTGGTTGTGCGTCGCACCCGGAGACGCGGGGTAGTGGTCATCCGAGCAGAAGGCATATTTTTACGCAGCTTGTAAAAGCGTGCGCGGGCTTGAACGGCTAAGCGGAACCATAGTGGAAAATCCAGTGATTTTTCTGGACTGAAATACGCCTTCTCCAAGAGCAGGGAGTGGTGCAGAGTAGAAAATTGTGCAGGTGGAGCAGTTGTGGAGCGTACTAGCTATAGAAGCAGTAGAAGGTCATCTAGCTGGTGTTATGGTTGAAACCGTTCTTATTCGCTTCACGAATTCCTTATCGCAATAGTCACCTTGCTCTGAGATGCTAAAGGAGTCCTCTGTTACCGAGGTCATTCAAGGTGAGAGTCGTAGCGCAGTGAACTTGGAACTCCGACTTTGTCCCTCCGACTCTCACTCTCGCCTTGATCCAGAAAACGACTATATTACTCGAGTGTTACAAGTAAGAAATACTAATGGGACTCCAGTCGTGTATTGATACCATAGTCTAGAAACAATGTCGCTGCCCCCACCAAGCAGCGACCAGGAATTCTGCAACGTCTCTGCACTTGAAGCTGGCGCTATCGGCCTCGTCTTAAATGAGTATATCGATGCGGCCGCCGGCGAAGTCCTTTATGCGCCCTCGTTATCATTCCTCATTCAGCACAGCAAGAGCAGCCACAAGTTCGTCTTCGATCTCGGTATACGCAAGGACTGGCATAATTACCCTCCTAATGCCATCCTCGATAATTCAGGCAGTAACATGGAGCTTAGAGTCACTCAAGATGTCGTCGATTCCCTTTCAAAGGGCGGTCTTTCTCCTACAGACATCAACACCATCTGCCTGTCCCATTGTCACTTTGATCATGTCGGGGATACAAAACCATTCATGAAGAGCACGTTTCTCGTAGGCGGTGCTGTTGCCCCGTACTTTGAATATGGATACCCAGTGCACCTTGACTCATCCCTGGCATCTGATCTTCTTCCCAAAGATCGCACAACGTTTTTGACCTACGAAACATGGGCGCCAGTTGGCCCTTTCTGCCGCGCACTTGACTTCTATGGTGATGGGAGCTTGTACATTGTCGACGCTGCTGGCCACTACCCCGGTCATCTCACAGTTCTCGCACGCACATCCTCAGACGGAGGCTGGATATTCCTCGCAGGTGATAGCGCGCACCACTGGTCTTTAGTGACTGGAGAGAAAGAGATTGCTACGGCGTTTGGCTGTGCGCATCTTGACAAGGAGTCAGCGGAGGAGAACTTGATGCGTATTCGAGAGCTAATGAAGGACCCAAGAGTAAGAGTGATGCTCGCCCACGATGATCCTTGGTACAAGGAGAATAAAGATGGTCCTTCGTTTTGGCCTGGGAAGATACCATCCCTTTAGGCGACATATTTTTTTCCTCCATATCTATGCGTGTTTATTAGGTAGTGGACGATGTCCATAACACATAAGGGTGCGTGTATATTAGGTATTGGTAGGTATTGGTAGAAATGATAATGCTGTCCACGCTGGCAACTTCCAGAGCAGCCTAGTAGGTCGCTGCGCCCCTTCTGCGTCCATAGCGCCGTCTGGATCTACGAGAACCGCAACATCTACAGCAGAGGATATCTGTAATGACATCGAAAATCGTGACGATGACCTGAATTCATCGCTGTCCAGTAAACATGTGTAGTGTATAAGATGAGAACGAGGTAAACTTGCCGTTGTGATCGCCGAAACGATAGTCATAATAACGTTGGCAATCGCTGAAATGACAGCGTTTATTCCGCGTCCGATAGCTGAAAATACTGAGCCCTGGGGATAGTGTCTGGCATGAGCTTCAAATATAATTAAATAGAAGCTAGTTTCTAGCGCCCACCATTCTCGAGTTTTCGCGGGTTTGAAGGCGATTTAAATTTGTACATTCTTTCACTGGCAGCCCTTAAATATGCTGTTCAGGTGCAATGATGTCGTTTGGTACCTATGACATCCCACATACGTCATGGTAAGTGGAGACGCGACGCCATTTGTCACAGGAGTAACGCAGTCTCGTGATAACGTCACGTCGTAGTTTCCAACATGGGCTACGCGATATTA